GAGAACCGATCAACAGAGGATGCAATCTCCTCTGTGGTCCACACTGCTCTCACCCACCTGGAGCAGAAAAACTCTTACGTCCGTATGCTCTTTGTGGACTTCACATCCGCCTTGAACACCATGATCCCTCAAACCCTGATGGACAAACTATCCACACTAGGACTAAGCCCCTCCATCTGCAACTGGGTACTAGACTTTTTAACAAACAGACCACAGTTAGTGAGGATCCACAACCTCTCCTCCTCCACCATAACCCTCAGCACTGGCTCTCCTCAGGGATGTGTGTTGAGCCCCCTCCTGTTTACTCTTCTCACGTATGATTGTGCAGCTACCCATCCAGGCTGTCACATTGTAAAGTTTGCAGATGATACAGCGGTGGTGGGATGCATCACAAACAATGATGAGTCCAGCTACAGGCAAGAGGTGGAACACCTGGAGAGCTGGTGCAGAGAGATTAACCTTCACATCAATGTGAAGAAGACAAAGGAGATGATTGTGGACTTCAGAAGGAACAAAAACATCTACACCCCCCTGAACATAAGAGGATCTGCAGTGGAAGTGGTCTCCAGCTACAAGTACTTGGGTGTACACATGAATGACAACCTCAGCTGGAGCAACAACACCACCAGCCTGATCAAGAAAGCTCATCAGAGACTCTACTTCCTCAGACGGCTGAGGCGAGCTGGTCTGGGAAGCTCAGTCCTCACCTCCTTCTACAGGTGTGCAGTGGAGAGCATCCTGTGCTCCAGCATCAACGTGTGGCATGGAGGCTGCACAGCTGCAGAAAGAAAAGCTTTGCAGAGAGTGGTGAAGGCTGCACAGAAATCTGTCGGAGTCAGCCTCCCCACCATCACAGACATCTACACCTCCAGATGCAGGAAGAGGGCCACCTGCATCATGAAGGACCCCACTCACCCAGCACACACACTTTTTGCCCCACTCCCCTCAGGAAGGAGGTTAAGGAGCATTAAGTGTAGAACCACTAGACTGAGGAACAGCTTCTACCCTGAGGCTGTTAGACTCATGAATCTCTAACCAGAATAATCACTGTGAAAAACCATATCATGTTGCTGCTGATCTGTTTCATGTTGCTGCTGATCTGTTTCAATGTTGATGTGTTCATGCGTGCACATCTGCTCACAGACTCATGTTCATGTTTGTGCTGATGTTCAATGTTTTATGTTATGAGTGCTTAGTGTATATTTAGTTGATGTTTTTCTTAGTTCATATCTTAGATGTTGTTACTGTTTTTCTTATACATTTTATTGCTGGATGTAACTGGGACCCCATGTACATAATTTCGCTCCACCACATGTACCACATGAGGTGCGAATGACAATAAAGAAACTCTGACTCTGACTTAATTTGTCCATTGCTTTTTTTGATGTGTTTATTGTTTTTTTCTTAATTGTAATTTCTTTTGTAATGCTTTGATCATTTTTATAAATCATGAAAACTGGTAAATGATCACTCAAATCACTCATTAAAATACCTCCCATCACATCCCCATTTGTTACATTTGTGAAAATATTATCGATTATTGTAGCACTATGAGTTGTAATTCTTGTTGGTTTTGATATTAACGGTAAAGATTTAAACTATACAATGAATTTGTAAATGTACTGATGTTATTTGAATCTGTTTTATTTCCCAGGTCAATATTAAAGTCTCCACACAAA